GCTGCATGAGTCGACACTGGGTCCAGAAGCATCTCTTACCTCCAGTTGCTCTTGTGTGGAAACCAGTGATCCATTCAAACTACTCCTCCCACTGTGATAATATAATTTTGTCTTAGAGGAAATATACTTTTCCTGCTGCCCAACCTTGGTCATATTGGCTAACCCAAGCCATCCAATATATTTCACTACATTTTAACCACAAATAGAAAAGGTCTTTCCTTCTAAGAGGTTACTATGTTCCCACCTAAATATGTCTGATTCCTCCTCAGCAACCTCCAAGCTCCAAGCCCTCCCCATCTAATAGGTATGTAGGAGGGATACCACAGCTCCAACCTCCAGAACCAGCCCTGGTTAACCCAAAACTCCTTGTTACACTCTTCTCCAAACTCCACTCCCCAAAAAGCGCTCTTTCAGAACAAAGTGAGTCTGTCCCAAAGGTTTATTTACTTATTCTCGAGGGACAGGAAACTCATCACTAAATAGACATACTTGTGCATACACACACACATGCATGAACACACACACAGTGACTCCTACAAGGTGCTCCAAATCAGAGTGGTCATGACCAGAAAATGTGAAATTCCGATGTTTCCATGTTGAGAATGAGAGTTTGATCAACTTCTCACTCCCAACCAGTTGAGTTCCAAGTCGTCACATGGGCCTGACCAGTTGCTCTGGCCTCCAGGTTTCCCAGACTCTAGTTTTATTTCAATAGCCTGGGTACTTTGGCAGGGAGGGGGCTGCAGAACTGAAACAATTGATTGGCTGGAGATGAAATCACAGGGACACCTAAAACTGTCTTCATGTGGCTGAGTCAGTTCCTGGAAGGGGGCCTCAGGACCAGAACTCTTGTTCTGTTAAAATGCTGAATCTGGCCGGGCGCGGTGGCTCAAGCCTGTAATCCGAGCACTTTGGGAGGCCGAGACGGGCGGATCACGAGGTCAGGAGATCGAGACCATCCTGGCTAACACGGTGAAACCCCGTCTCTACTAAAAAATACAAAAAACTAGCCGGACGAGGTGGCAGGCGTCTGTAGTCCCAGCTACTCAGGAGGCTGAGGCAGGAGAATGGCGTAAACCCGGGAGGCAGAGCTTACAGTGAGCTGAGATCCGGCCACTGCACTCCAGCCTGGGCGACAGAGTGAGACTCCGTCTCAAAAAAAAAAAAAAAAAAAAAAAAAAAAAAAAAAAAAATGCTGAATCTGAAAAATACCTCAAAGACCAGTTCTTTAGGTTTCACGATAGCGATGTTATCTACAGGAGTAGATGGGGGAGTTATAAATCATGTGACCCCCAGTTTTGTGATTCTGGGGCGGTAAACAACTTATAGAAAAACAAACTAAGCAATGGTAGGTCATTGTTTAACTATGCCTATTCTATAGCGAAGGTCAAAGGCCCTGCCACAATTTTAGCCTTGTCTTATGAATGCAGCTTCAGTCGACAAAAAAGGAGTGGGGGGCAATTTTCCTTGCCTCAAAGTTTAACTATGAACTAAATTTCTCTCATACTTATCTTGGCTTCCATGCTAGAAAAAGCAAAAAAGTAACTAAGCCTGTGAGGTTAGAAGCAAGATGGAGTCACTCACGTTAGACTTCTCTCATTACTTATTCCGAAAAGGCAATTTCACCAAGAGTTTGAGGGTTCTAATCCTAGAAGGGTGGGGGGTTGGACAGACAACACCATAGATGTGTCTATAATGATGATGATGGAAAAGTTTTGGTGTCTTCAGACCACAAAGGCTGTTCCTTTATATCTTTTTTGGTACCACATATCCCTACCTTAACCTCTGTTCCAGGATGCCCATATTCTCTCTGTTCACCAACCTGGCCAGTAGCCAACAATTGGCTCAGTAAAGTGGGAATGGGTGGAGAAAATAAATAGGAAGGAGTTGAAAGAAGTGCCACCTGAATGCGCCAGTTGCCATCCCCTACTTTGACCCATGATTTCCACAAAACAGAATTCATATTCTTCACAAATGTGATATTTTAAGTTGCTGATATTCACTCAAATCTATTCTAGTCTTGGAGAAAGTGGCGAAGACCTGCCAAGCTTCAAATATCCTTTACTGAGTTTTTTTCTTAATAACTTAGGTGATGAAAACATTCCTTCCCTGATTTGACCACCTTTCAGTTCTGGGGAGTGTCCACCAAGTGGCACGAAGGGAATCAGCAGTTTCCCATAAGCATCTGGCTCAGCATGGTGGGCAGAGGTGGTTGGTAATGACGCTGGTTCATCCAGGGAAGGGAGGGCTGGTGAGTGGGTGTGTGTTTAAGAATCACAGCAGGTTCCAAGCTGAGCATCCTACAAGACTAAGAGACATGATCACCCCAAATTCAGCTAATGCTCATGTTATCACGCTGCAGAGGACCCCATTCACCTGAGCAATATAATTGAAAATATAATGGAGGTTACGAGCTTCTTTCTGTTCTGTGCCCCTGGGCCCCAGGTCTTCTGTCTGCTCCAGGCTAGGGGAGGTGCAGGAAGGGTGAGACTCATGGTGGGTTTTTATTCCCTGATTACACTTGCTGAGTTCTTGGTACAGGACATGCGAAGGACTTGGTGCCAGGACTTGCTGCAGTGACTGGTGAAGAGGCCTTGGACAGACCTGCTGGGGCAATTACAGGCCACAACAGCCTAAAGTTCTAGCAAATTGAGAAATAACCACCTGTTATAACTTACCAAAATACTGTCTTGCAGAGATATGAATATATTCACACCTCAGTGAGCTCTAATGGTATTGTAAAGGGACTGGGACACAGGAACAATGCTGCCTTGGGGGCATGCTGACCAGACAGCTTTCCAAATGCGTGGATGCATTGTGCCTTGGCCACTCACACACCAACTAGTGGCCCAGAGCTCTGGCCAGGCAACCTGAAGTCAGGTAATGTGTCTTCCCTGGACATCACGTAGCTGGAGTAGTATTGTTTCCTGAGATGCAAAAAAACAGAACAGCCCAGAAATATTGGGCAGTGACACCAGCTGTGACACCATAGCATGTTAAAGGGCCTTTTGCTGTCGAAAGAGCCAACAACTCAATAGTGCCATGTTTGGACCCCTCAGACTAAGCCTTGGAGTGTGCTGGGTTTGCACAGGGTGAGCTGGTGGATCAGTGGTGGAAGCAGCTGAGCCAATGCTAGGCTCCAAGTGGAACCTTAGACTCCTCAAGTGGCGGCCCTGAGAAGGGCTGCTCAGTCAGTGCAGTCTAAAGTCGATGTTTGGAGAGCTGCTCATCACCCAGGTCTGGAAACCTCACTCCCAGGGTTATTGGCACATCCAGTAGTAAGTAGAAAAAGAAGAGGAAGACTCATGAAACTGATTCTGCTCACTGGTTACAGCAATGACCTTGGCTTGGGCAGAGGTAAAAACTCATCTGAAATAAGGTTCCTGGAGTATTTATCATTCTATTTCTCTCTTCTAGGCAAGGAGTTTCCAAACCTAGCCCAGGGCCAATGCCTGGAGCTCTTGTTTGAAATGCAGATTCCTGAACACCAGCCCCAAAGATTCTGATCCAACAGGGGTGGGGTATACTCAGGAATCTGTATGTGTATCAAAGGCCCTGTTCCAGGTGATCCTGACTTAGGGGATCCAAGGACCAGCATTTGGGAATAACCACTCTAACACACCCCATCTCCATATATTATTGTTATTCACTGAGAATTGGTGGTGCCTCAGATGAGGAGCCAGTGTAACAAACAGCCAGCATGTTCCTACACTCCCGCACAGACGCACCTATGTGTCACGGGGCATGTGTCTCTGAGATCTGCCTCCCAGCCACTTCATACCATCCTTGTGGCACACATGCACATTACACCGATTCAGTTCAGCAAATGTTTATTGAGTACCTACAATAGGCAAGGCACAGTACCAGCTGCTGTGGGCTACAAAGACAAGAAGGCTAGGCCTCACCCTCGAGAGGCTTACAGTCTAATAGGGAGAGATACACTCACAGTAACAAAAATACAAGGCAAAATGAGGTGAGCTCTATGGCAGAGGCAAAAACAACGGGAGAACAGCGAGCAGGGATATATCAGACATATCTCAGCCGATCAGATGTTGGATGCAGGGAGTGGTGTTTCCCAGGCCCCGGGAGGTGGGTCGGGTTCACACAGGTGAACTGGAAAAAGAAGCACACTCAGGCACAGGCAACGTATAGAGGTGGGAAGTGCAATGAAATGCTCAGAGAACAGAGATGCCTGCCTTGACCAAAACACAGGAGGCCAACAGGATAACAGAGGACCTAAGTTGGAGAAGTGGTTTCAGGCCAGATGGTGGGATCGTTCATAGTAGGATTTCATTCTTTTTTTTTTTTTTTTTTTGAGATGGAGTCTCACTATGTCGCCCACGTTGGAGTGCAGTGGCACGATCTCGGCTCACTGCAAGCTCTGCCTCCCAGGTTCACGCCACTCTCCTGCCTCAGCCTCCTAAGTAGCTGGGACTACAGGCGCCCGCCACCACACCTGGCTAATTTTTTTGTATTTTTAGTGGAGATGGGGTTTCACTGTGTTAGCCAGGATGGTCTTGATCTCCTGACCTCGTGATCCGCCCGCCTTGGCCTCCCAAAGTGCTGGGATTACAGGCGTGAGCCACCCTGCCCGTAATTTTTTTTTTTTTTTTAATGAGACAAAGTCTTGATCTACCGCCCAGGCTGGAGTGCAATGCCACAATCATAGTTCACTAGAGCCTCAGCCTCCTGAGATCAAGTGATCCTCCTCCAAGTAGCTGGGACTACAGGCACATGCCACCACACCCAGCTAATTTTGTGTGCATGTATGTTTTTTGTAGAGACAGGCTCTCACTTTGTTGCACAGGCTGGTCTCAGACTCCTGACCTCACACGATCCTCCTCCCTTGGCCTCCAAAAGGGCTGAAATTATGGGCTTAAGCTACCACACCCAGCTATAGTGAGGAGATCTGACTTCATTCCATTGGTAATGGTGAACCATTGAAGGTTTGTGAGCAGAGGAGTGACACGACTTCATTTCCACAAGTCTGGGCACACTGCTGTGAGTAATACATGATTAGCTTTATTCTTTTTGTTAACTTTACTCTATGGCTTACACTCATGCCTGGTCTCAAAGCAGAAGTGCAAACCTGAGCCCCGTAACCACACGTACTTTCCAGGCTGCACAAAGCAGGAAGCAGTGGCCTTAGCTAGGTAAACTGTGGGCTCATTTAACAGCTTTGCACCTTCTCCACAGAAAAGGAAGTGAGGCTTTCCAGAACGATTTGAGAGTAAGGGGCAGAGCACAAGGACGGTACTTCACAAACTTCTGTCACCTAAGCATGGCAAGAATAAGCTGCAGAGAAAATGGGAGTGCAGAAGAAAATGGTGGAGAGATGCAACTGACGTAACTAGCATCATCCAAACTGAACCCTTTCCCAGTATGACTTCTGTAATAACTCACCTCCGCCTCCAGCTAGTGGGAAGGGAGATTCCACAGTCTGACTCACTAGATCAGTAGATGGGGTTTCTAAGCGCTCTACACATAGAAGGATCTCTGTGGATAGAGGCTCCTAGGATCCTGCTTAACCATCCAATGAGGAAGGAGAATGGTGCCCACCCGCTCCTGGGCCACCCCAGCCCACGAAGGGATGCGAGGCCACTGCTGTCCAGGTGGACACAGCAATGCTGGTTAGCGAGGGCTCCCCCAGAACCTCCACACCAGCCGAAGTGGGTGCTTGGGTGGAGAGCACAGAGGGGGGTGAAGTCACAGCTGGGTTTCCGAGGAGAAATGCTCCTGGGGCGCTGGCATGCACCTCCGGGCCTGGCCCAGTGGGGCCTCCGGCACTATTGCTGATGGTCCACAGGCACGGATAGGGGCTGCAGAGACAGAGAAAGAGGGGAAGGGAATGTTCAATGGCACTCCAAGGAAGGAGTGCCGCCTGACAAGCACGCACATAGCGCTGAGAAGTTACAAGAGGGCTTCTGGCCATGGCTTGATTTTTAGCTGTGACACAGATTAGTCCTGTTTCTGCAGAAAAGCTAAGAGAAACAGCAAAGTATGGTGGAATGATGATAACATTAAGTAGTACTGGCCCTGCCACCAGTGAGTTATTTGGTTTTAGACACAGAATTTCATTTATCTGGGCTCCCTTGCCCAGATTTCTATTGCCCTGCCTATGTAAAATTGGCAGGGCAATAGAAAAAAGGTATTAAAACTATATGATTGCTGCATCTGATCTCTCCCTGGCCAATGTGGCATAATAACCAGGAAACATCACTGTCAGAAGACTTGAGTTTAAATCCCAGCTCTACCACTTATTAGCTCTGTGGCCTTGGCTAAATTATTTAACATCTCTGAGTGTCAGTTTTCTCATCTTCAAGATGTGGTGTCATAATTTTACCTACCTTACAGAGATTGCTACAAGGATTAAATAGGAGAAGAATATTGTCCTTAGCATGTAGTACTCAGTAAATGGTGGCTGTTATCATTATTTCTTCCATTCCTGGTCTCCACCTGTGATCTCTGGTGCCTGGCAGAAAGGCTGAGAGCTAGAACACTCTCTTTGCCTTCTCTAGTTCTATAGCACTGGTTCACACACATGGTTGCACATTCGGCACACTGGAATCACTCAGGGAGTTTTTAAAAGTAATATTGCTGCCTGGGTCCCACTCTCACCCCACTCCCTTGCCCCAGAGATTCTGATTGAACTGATCTGGCATGCAGCCTGAGTATGAGGATTTTTTTAAGTTTCCCAGGTGATTGTAATGTACAGCCAAGCTTGCACCTTAATATAGATGCAGTTGGAACAGGTGCAATGATCCCAATGTTTTCAGCCTTTAGTCATCACTACATTTCTTACATTTCAGAGTTTCTGCATTGCCCAATAATATTGCTTGAGAATGGGCTTATTATCCAAAGGCAATATTGAATACATTTGTTTTGTTTTGTTTCTAACAAAATATTTATGGAGTCAGGAATTAGTTAAACACACCAACAGAGAAGCCAGAGTTGGCAATGCCATCATTCACCTGGTGCCATTTTTCAGTGCTCCAGGCCTCCTTGGACCATATGAAACCTGCAGTAGCCCATCCTCTGAGCTCTCTCTGAGCTAGCTCAGCTTATGGGGATTCTGGCCCTAATCTTCAGAAGATGCTCTTCTACATTATCTCTTACAGACCCTTTCTGATGCCGCCTGGGCCAGTGGGAGAACCATGGGCTCTGAGCTGTACTGCTTACTGCTCATAGTTGTCTTTGAGTACTACAGATGACTTATATATAGATGACTTATATATATGTAAGTATCCAGTATACAACTTGGCACATGATTATTTAATATCTTCAGGAACCCTCATCTTCATTTTCTTTTTCACTTTCTACCACAGCCCAAATCAATCCTTTTCCCTCAGATCCTCTAGATCAGTGTCAAATACAAATGATGCTCTAGATCAGTGTCAAAATGCAAACCATAAATGCCAGCTGCATATGTAAGTTTAAATTCTCTAGTAGCCACATTTAGAAAAATATTAATAAATTTATTAACATTTTATTTAACCAAAATATTCCAAATATTATCATTTCAACATGCATTTGATGTAAATATATATATTATATATGTATATATTTATATCACAATATTAACATAACATCTATATTTACATATACTATATTTTATATATTTATATATTTTTATATTTTAAATATAATATATATTAAAATATATCTTATATATATAAATTATATATTAAAATGTATAGTATATATTTTATATATGACATATATAAAATATAAATGATGTTTTTTATATATAATATATAAAACATATACTATATATTTGAATATATTCAACATATATTAATATACATACTATATATTTAAAATATGAAAATATATAAAAATATATAATATAGTAGTATATATTGTGTATATATAAAAAATTGGGATATTTATTCTTTGTTTCACACTAAATCTTCAAAATCCTGTGGGTATTACACTCACAATGTATCTCAACTTGGACTAGCTGCATTTCAAGTGTTTGACAACCACAGGTGGCTACTGCACTGGACAGCACAGCTTTATACCCTGCTATATCAGCAACACCCAGGAACTTGGTAGAAATGTAGAATCTCAGGCCCCCACCCAGACCTACCAATCAGATTCTGCATTTTAACAACAACCCCAGGTGATTCTAAGCCATCACATTCTCCTTATTCTAGACTTACAAATCATAAGTCGTCTGATGTCTTCCCAAATCCAATCCTTTTTTTTTTTTTTTTTTGAGACAGAGTTTCACTCTTGTTGCCCAAGCTGGAGTGCAGTGCCTCAGCTTAGTGCAACCTCTGCCTCCTGGGTTCAAGTGATTCTCCTGCCTTAGCCTCCCAAGTAGCTGGGATTATAGGCACGCACCATCAAACCGGCTAATTTTTGTATATTTAGTAGAGACGGGATTTTACCATGTTGGTCAGGCTGGTCTCAAATCAGGGGATTCACCTGCCTTGGCCTCCGAAAGGGCTGGGATTACAGGTGTGAGCCACTGCACCCAGCCAAGTCTCATCTTTTAATTTTGATTCCACTTTGGACCTTCTCAAAATTCTGCATAACCATATTGAACATAATAGCTGACATTTACACAGAATGTTACTGCTTACAAAGCATGTTAATGCATTTTCTAATTTCTGCATTTGATGCTCATGGTAACTCTACAAAGTAGGTCATATTATTTCCATGAAAGAAATAAGAAAGCTGAAGCTCAGTAAGGTTAAGAAAATTGCCCAAAGCCACAAAGTCACTACTGAGGTAGAACTGGGACTCAAACCCCTGCCTGTCAGACTCAACGAGGCCTTCTCTTCCCACTTCACCACTCAGATTTCTAGAAGTCAGAACTTAATGCAGGTCGCTGGTGTGAGGACTAAACCATGGGGTCCTCCATGCTACACTTAGCCCTCTTACCAGGGTTGTGAGACCAGGCATCCACAATATGTCCCCCTTTTAGGATGGGTGACTCACGGGAAAGTGGACAATAGTGGTTCTTGACTTCTCAGTGTATGTTTATACTTTTCCTCTTCAATTCCTCTACAGTCAGTATCTATTTGCTACCACCATAGTTTAACGTGTTTCTGACTGGTTTAAGACAAATGATCCCAGGCCATAATGTCTATCCCTTTTTTTTTTTTTTCTTTTTGAGACGGAGTTTCACTCTTGTTGCACAAGCTGGAATGCAATGGCGCGATCTCAGCTCACTGCAACCTCCGCCTCCTAGGTTCAAGCGATTCTCCTGCCTCAGCCTTCCGAGTAGCTAGGATTACAGGCACACACCACCATGCCCAGCTAGTTTTTGTATTTTTAGTAGAGACGGGGGTTTCACTATGTTGGCCAGGCTGGTCTTGAACTGCTGACCTCAGGTGATCCACCTGCCTCAGCCTCCCAAAATGCTGGGATTACAGGCATAAGCCACCATGCCCTGGCTATCCTTTTAAATATAAGAAATGGGATACGACTGAGCTGTTTCTCCAATTATGAAAGAACTCCATCCTGTTGCCACCTTGACTTCTTAGTGGTTTACAAGTCAAGACAATAGGTTAGACCAAGCCACCCTAGGAAATAGAATGAACTTGAGTCCCCAGTGCTAAAGTAAACCCCTAAGACCACCAATGAGCGAGCTGATGGTGTTGGTCTTACCTGGGACCTGGATTGATTGGTCCGTTGGTGTGGGGTACAGACAGGATGCTGGCATGAGGTGTGGAGGATAAGGATGTCCAGCTGTCAGGTCCCGAGAAAACTTGCAGATTATTGCTTGAGCTTTCTATCAAATTCACTTTGGGGAAATAACAATAGTTGAATTGATAGCAAATGTAGAAAACATAAAGATGGTGACCAGTGACATTATCCTAAGGCAAAATATAACCATGGCTTGCACCACAGGCACCAACAGTTTGTTAGTTCTTTCTCAGGGAAATAGAAAGTAAAAAGAAACATAGGTTTCTTGAAGGTCGACCATATGCCAGGTGTCATTCATAGTTTAATCTTCACACCAGTGACTCCTTAACTCCATCTTATAGATGAGCCTCAGGGTGGTAGGATTATTTGCCCTGGGTATCACCGATCTGTCTAACTCATTTCACCGCAGTCACTCTCTTTTAAGAAGGGACCATACCAGCCTCCCCTCAAGCTAAGCCTAAGGGCCACCAGTGCCCCAGATGAGATTTCTGAGGTCCAGGAACTTATTCTTCTCAACCATCCCCTAGAAGGTTTAAATATCTCAAGCACAGTGCCTTTTGACCAGGTGTGGTGCTCACACCTGTAATCCTGGCACTTTGGGAGTCCAAGGCAGGGGGATCCCTTGAGCCAGGAATTTGAGAACTTTCTGGGCAACACAGAGAGACACCATCTCTACAATTAAAAAAAAGAAAAAAAACATACCTTTTTATTAAAAGAAGTAGATTGTATGATCTCACTTATATGTGGACTCTAAGATTAAAGTTGAATACATAAAAGCAGAGAGTACAGCAGTGGTTACCAGGGGTGGGAAGCTGGGGAAATGAGATATTGGTCAAAGGATGTAAAATTGCATTTATGTAGGATGAGTAAGTCTAGAGATCTAACTTACAATCTGAAGACTATAGTTAGCAATACTGTACTGTGTACTGGAAATTTGCTAAGAGAGTAGATTTCAGGTGCTTTCATCATGAAAAACAGTAACTATGTGAGGAGATGGACATGTTAATTTGCCTGACAGCAGTAATCACTTCACTATGCATATTATATCAAAACATCATGTTGTACACCTTAAATATACACAGTTTTTATAGAGGAGAAAAAGAAGAATGTCTTCCATTTCTTTGAATCTCTATTTGCATAAATAGTGTATATATAAGAGAGAGGAAGAAGGCAGAGGGAGGGAGGAAGGAAGGGAAAAGGGGGAGAAAGGAGAGAGAGGAGGAAGATTCCAATGTCTATCTCTGGTGCTATGGTTTGAATGTGTCCCCCATCGTTCATGTGTTGGGAACTTAACTCCCAATGCAACAGTGTTGAGAGGTGGGGCCTTCAAGAGGTGATTAGGCCGTGGGGGCTCTACCCTCGTGAATGGGTTAATGCCAATATTGCAGGAGTGGGTTTCTGATAAAAGGATGGGTTTAGCCTCCTGCCCTCTCCCCCTCTCTTTCCCTGACTATCTGTGTGAGGCCTTCTGCAACATTATAATACAGCCAGAAGACCCTTACCATACGCTGGCACCTTAATCTTCAACTCCCCAGCCTCCAGGACTATGAGAAAATAAATTTCCACAGCTTATAAATTACCCTATCTCAAGTGTTTTCTTATAGCACCACAAAGGGGACTAGGACACCTGCCCATGTCTCTTCTTTTTACGATCTGGCACTTGCAAGCTCTCCAGCCCTAACTCTTGCATTTTCCATCTGTCCACACTCCCCCTACATTCTGCTCCAAAGCTATTCTCAGACAACCTAGGGTCTCTCCCCCTTCTGTGTCTTTGCTCAGCCCACTCTCTCTACCTGGAATGTCCTGCGCCTCTGCCTGTGGCACAAGCCATCCTCCACCTTTTACCCCTGCCCACTCTCACTCTGTCCTTTTCTATTCATCTTTCAAGGCTCAATTTAAATGTTAACCCCTCTGAGCAGCCTTTGCTGCCCCACCAGGCATATCCAGCTGCTCTTTTTCCTTCATTCCCATGGCACCCTGACTTGTGTGTTTTGTTGGCTGTTTCTCAAACTCTAGAGCACTTATGAATCCCCTGGAGATCTTGTTAAAATGCAGACCCTGATTCAGGAGTAGAGCCTGAAAGTCTACATTTCTGACAAGTTCCCAGGTGATGCTTCTGCATTATATTAGGATTCGTTATTTACATATTTGTGCAATCCCGAGCTCCTCCAGGGAAGAAGCTATGTCTTTTTTTTTTTTTTTTTTTTTTTTTTTGAGACGGTATCTTGCTCTTGTTGCCCAGGCTGGAGTGCAGTGGCACGATCTTGGCTCACTGCAGCCTCCACCTCCCAGATTCAAGCGATTCTCCTGCCTCAGCCTCCCAAGTAGCTGGGATTATAGGCGCCCGCCACCACGCCTGGCTAATTTTTGTATTTTTAGTACAGACGGGGTTTCGCCATGTTAGCCAGGCTGGTCTCGAACTCCTGACCTTGTGACCTGCCCGCCTCGGCCTCCTAAAGTGCTAGGATTACAGGCGTGAGCCACCGCACCCGGCCCTGAAGCTATGTCTTAATCACTTTCCTATCCCACTGCCTAGAAGAACATGGTATGCAGTAGGTGCTCAGAAGATGTGATTTGATGCTGACCACAGGAAAGAACAAGGAAGTAGAGCGAGCCACAGATCAGTTTCTGCTACTGATAAGCTACATAATCCCCCCTCCTGGCAGCAATGGTTCAGGTTGCCAAGGGTAGCAGGCTAAGGGACACAGGGACAGGTAGCTGGTGACCAGGAGGACCCTCTACAAATGCAGAGCTCAGGGTGTCACCGAGGAAGGAAGGAGGCTGGAATCCAAATACTCTCCACTATCTCCCATGCCATGAACTTTGCTTGTTTTATTGAGTGTCAATCTCTTCACATTAGTATAGAATCTCCATACGGGCAGGGCATGTGTCCGTTTCATTCCTGTGCTTGAAACAGAGCCTGGCATATAGTCGATCCTCAATAAATATTTGTTGCATGAATAATTTAATGAAAAAAGTAACCATTGTTTTCATTTCTCCCTTCTTTCTACAAATCTAATAACCAGGCAAGGACTGGGTCTACGTAAGACAAAGGTGGAAAAGGCAGTAGTCAATGAGAAAAAAGCACACAAACAATACTGCTAACTTAAAAAAACAGTCGGACAGCAAAAATTATTTTAAAATATTAAGGTTGGGTTTGCATGTCTCCAACTGAATCCATCTAAGGCCTGAACATACAGGGATCCAGCTCCCCAGAGACCTTCCTAGTAGCTCCCTAACACTAGACCCAGTATTCCCTGAACTGAGCCATGAATGCAACCATAGAAAGGAGCCACGTGAAGGTGATGAACTGTGTTTCAGACCCACACAACTTGACGTGGCTTTTAGAGATCTGCCTGAACTGCTCAGAACACCAGTGTCCTGGCCTTTCATGCCCATTAGAAACCAGAAGACTGTGGGTTTTATGAAATAACTAAAAAAAACAAAAAACTAAGATTGTTATACCTAGTTAATCAAATATTTGTACATAAAACAACAAAAAAACCCATAAAAACAATAATATCATACATGTATATTAGATGAAAAGGGTTCCATCTTTAGCTACTCCTTTTCCTAGCTGTTTATCCATTTCTCCCGGCTGCCCCGGCCCCAGCTCATACCCCAAGAGTTTAATCAGCAGAGTCACAGACCTGAGGGAGAATGGTTTCTATGCATGTATGCAGAAGGGTAGGGAGCCTGCCGGTGTCCTCGGAGGCCCGAATAGTGCTCACAGCCATGGTGGGTGTGGGGAGCAGGCAGAGGCAGAGGAGCGGCATACTGGTAATTGGAGTTTCCTGCTGTGCACACTCCTTCCGGATTGGAAAAGATCCAGCCTCCCACTAAAATAGACAAGAGGAAGACACCAAGACTGAGTCTGTGAACTCCCACACCAAAAATCAGGTGACCAGCTACTTTATACAACTACAATTCTTGTAAATGACACTGATGCTAGCCTGTGTGTTGGTACCATCCCCCGGCTGCCACTGCCCTTGCCCATGAGCAGGTAACTTGGCTTCTCTGGAAATGCATGACCAGAACCGCTGACTTTGCCACATATAACGTACACACGTCAAGAAGTTTGCTGAGAAGATTGCAACACATGAACTTTGAACTCCAGTGGTTCTGCACATGGCCCTAACCTACACAACAAGGTTTTTATTCCAGTTCATTCCACCTAAAGGAAAAAACTGACAGGGAAATGATAAATGAAAAATAGCTCAGAGCAGTCTGAGTTATGTGAGGCATGCAAAATGTATCAGGCCCAGAGGGATGTGAGTGTGAGGAGCACCTTCAGTCAAGGGCACCCCCTGCACCCATGCCCGGGGGCGATTCTTTAAAGGCATTTTTGTTCCTGACTAGCTGCCTCACCCATTATCTTCATGTTCCTGGAATGTGTGATACAAAGAACAATGTATAACCAATCAATCGCTCATGTTACGGTAAACAGTTTATGAATCGTCTCTTCTTTTTCCTTTAAAAACCCACTTGTAACTGCTGCTAACCCAAGCATATATTCAGGGGAACTTGAATCTATGCTCCCAAGTTGCAGTCCTCAAACTTGGCCCAAATAAACTTTCTACTTACATTAATGTTGCCTCAGTTTTTTCATTTAAGTTGACAGTCACTTTTAAAGAGTGCTTTTCGGCCGGGCGCAGTGACTCACGCCTGTAATCCCAGCACTTTGGGAGGCCGCAGCAGGAGGATCACAAGGTCAGGAGTTCAAGACCAGCCTGGCCAATGTGGTGAAACCCCGTCTCTACTCAAAATACAAAAATTAGCCAGGCGTGGTGGCGCGTGCCTGTGGTCCCAGCTGCTCAGGAGGCTGAGGCAGAGGAGTCGCTTCAACCCCGGAGGCAGAGGTTGCGGTGAGCTGAGATTGCGCCATTGCACTCTAGCCTGGGCAACAGTGAGAGTCTGTCTCAAAAAAAAAAAAAAAAGAGTGCTTTTCTGAGAGATGCTTCTCTTTATGCGGCTATACTCCCAGGTCTGGTATGGAAGGTGCGCTAAGATTGAAGGGAAGGAAGAAGTAAAGAACTCCGCAGCTGGCAAACTGCATAAGGGTTCTTTGCAAGCCAATATAATCCGAATTAAAGAGGGTTTCAGACACCAGGGTTAACTTTCCTACTCTGATGTCACTGACCGTGGGTTGCATTGCAGTTGCAGAGGATTCCCTCCGCCATCCTGGGACATGGACAAGGTAACACGCTGATGGGAACATTCAACACTCCCTGCAGAATCCCAGTGATATGACTTCACCTTTTCCTACAGCCTTCCAGCCCTCAAATAAAGACTTCCCCACGGAGGCTACAGCCTGCGTGACACATTGCTATGGGGACCAACTCCAAAATTAGCAAACACTAAGAACAGCAGAACTCCAAAACACCAGAGTGGCGAGCATAAAGTTAGGAGGCCAGCCAAGGACACACTGTCGAGGCTTCAGCGCCTCACTGACATGAAAACCAGAGTCTAAGAAATCCATCATTTTCATTCTTATCTCCTGCCTAAGATTTTTTTAAGATCCTTAAGCCTAGGACCATTGGCCCTCTCTCTGGAAATTCTGGAAAGGGCATAAATTTGTCCTTAATGGAATAAAGAGCATGCTGAGTTTTGATTTGGAAGAGACCTTAAGCAGTCCTGACAGGCAAAGATTCTGAGTGTGGAGGGAATTGGCTCCAAGTACAGCCCCAAGTACAAGAACCTCCCGCCTCGTGTACACCAAACTCACAGTGAGAACAGGTCACATGCTGGCTTTCAGAGAGAGCCTCCGGTACGTCTCTTAGGTGATTTCTGAAAGAGGAAAGAAAATGCACCACAGTTGTCCAACTTATGTGTGTCCACCATAAAGCATACCCAAAATTCTCCTTGAAGAGCAATCAATTTCTTAGAATAAGAAAACCAAACCCCTTTTTCCCTACGCTCCTGTCCTTCCCCATTCTCCTTCCTTCAGGGTGCTGTCTCTACTTGTGCAATTGCTCTTGGAGTTCCAGTTTTACTGTTTACCCCTCTTTACCATATTAACAGCTATCCCTGTTTTTTGTTTCTTGGTTTTTGTTTTTATCTGAATAATTTGGGGATATTGTTCCTGACTGACAAGATTCAAGCAATAATAACAGCACAATTCCAGGGCACAATTACATATGTGATATGCTAGATCCACCAATGACTCTGTGAGGGAAATATTAACATATTTTTCTAATTTTGTAGATTAGAAAAGTGGATCTCGAGGAGGTAAACTGACTTATGCAAGAAGAAACAGCCAGTAAATTACAGAGCAAGGATTCAGTCAGGACCTCTTACTCAAAGTCCCAAATTCTTTGTATTATACCATGCTACTGTCACTTTGAATCTAGATTCTGTCATGTCACATGTCAGTTTATCCTTTAGGCCTTTTGTTAACTGAAAATGTTATAAGCGTGTCTTGTATATCATCATAATTTATTCCAATATTGGAGCTAGGCACAGTAACTCACTCCTGTAATCTCAGCAACTAAAGAGGCGGCGGCAGGAGGATCACTTGAGGCCAGGAGTTTGAGACTGTCTGGTCAACATACTGAGACCCCCGTCTCTTAAAAACAAACAAACAAACAAACAAAAAACAAAACCACATAGCCAGGCATGGTGGCACATGCCTGTAGTCCCCACTACTTCGGAGGCTGAGGCAGGAGGATAGCTTGAGCCCAGGAATTTAAGGCTGCAGTGAGCTATATCACACCACTGTACTCCAGCCTGCATGACAGAGCAAGACCCCATCTCTAAAATAATAATAATAACATATTCAAATATTGGACAGGACAGGGTCCTGTGATGCATCATTATGAACATCCGTCCATTCATGTAGAGCCTTATCAGAGCCTTTAAGGTGAACAGGAAAGATTAGACAGTTTTTAAACTATTTAAAAGATTTGAAACTCAAGCAATAAAATCTGAACATTAAAAAGATAATCATATTTATACTGTAGGGTTTGTCAATTAAAAAGTCAATGATGAGCACCATAATCTTCTTTTTCCTGGGATGGAAAACACACAGAGGCTGAACATGGTGGCTCAAGCCTATAATCTCAGCAATTTGGGAGGCCAAGGCAGGTGGATCTCCTGAGGTCAGGAATTCAAGACAAGCCTGGCCAACATGGTGAAACCCTGTCTCCACTGAAAACAAAAAATAAAAAATTAGCTGGGCGTGGTGGTGGGCACCTGTAATCCCAGCTACTAGGGAGGCTGAGACACGAGAATCGCTTGAACCCAGGAAGCAGAAGTTGCAGTGAGCAGAGATAGTGTCACTGCACTCCAGCCTGACTCTGTCTCCAAAAAAAAGATAGAAGGAAGGAATGAAGGAAGGAAGGGAGGGAGGGAAGGAGGGAGGGAGGGAGGGAGGGAGGAAGGAAGGAAGGGAGGGAGGGAGGGAGGGAGGGAGGGAGGGAGGGAGGGAAGGGAAGGGAAGGGAAGGGAAAGGAAAGGAAGGAAAGGAAGGAAAGGAAGGAAAGGAAGGAAGGAAAGGAAGAAAGAAAGAAAAGATATAGAGATGGCAGGTCGCTGACCCAAAGTAGCAGAATCATCACTCATACCCCCAGAAGTCTCTGACTCCTTTTCTCAGCACAGGAAATGTGAACCTCTCCCCATTTTTCACTTTTCCTAGGCTAAGTGTAGTTTTTAAAAAGCAATGTATTAAGCCATGCTACTCAGAAGTAATTAGGAAAAAGGCAGAGTGAATTATTATAAATCTAAATCATTTAATTTTTTTAATGTGATTGTGCTACTTTCAAAAATCTGTAGTAAAACAGGTCTTTAAAAAAAAAAAAACACATTGTTAGTTAACAGTTCTCCTGGACCCCTATTATAAGGAATAGATAATTATGATTTGAATTTTCTAGATGTTGTTGAATATTGAATTGAATATTGGAAGCATATTTCTACATTCTTTTTTTTTTTTTTTTTTGAGACGGAGTCTGGCTCTGTCACCCAGGCTGGAGTGCAGGGGCACGATCTCGGCTCACTGCAAGCTCCGCCTCCCGGCTTCATGCCATTCTCCTGCCTCGGCCTCCCGAGTAGCTGGCGGCCTACAGGCGCCCGCCACCACACCCGGCTAATTTTTTGTATTTTGAGTAGAGACGGGGTTTCACTGTGTTAGCCATGATGGTCTCGATCTCCTGACCTCCTGATCCACCCACCTCGGCCTCCCAAAGTGCTGGGATTACAGGTGTGAGCCACCACGCCCGGCCAAGGAAACATATTTCTATCAAAGGTAATGCAAGTGCTACTGGTCTAGTTCCTTTCAAGATAATCATAAATTCCACATTTGTATTTGCATAAACCATTCATTAGAAGATTTCACTAAAATTTCTCTACTTACCTTTCCTTGGCATCCAAGAAGGCTTTGGCAAAAGGATTGTACTTGATTTTGAGAGCTGTTATCTTGCATTTACAAAGACAAGAAGTGTTAGTAAGAGTAGGATACACATAGGCAGACAGAACCCTTTGTCTTCTGTAAAACCAGGTTAATTCCCTCTCTTTTCCTTCCCTTTCCTGCCAGGCATGGTGGCTTATGCCTGTAATCCCAGCACTCTGAGAGGCAGAGGCCCTTTGCACCTTTGCTTACTCCAGCACTTAATCACCATTGCACTGTCTCTGGCAAAGGACATTTTATCATTGCATGTGGTGAAAATGCTAATGCCATGTAAAGTGAGAAAAGAAAGGGCAAAGCACTGGAAATAAGCAAAGCCCTGATGTGTGAAGCCTAGCATTCATTTTTTACTCATTTATTTATTTTTTTCAACAATCCTTGATCCCCTACTACATGTGATTTACTTATCTAGTCACTTGGAACACAGTGGAGAGCAGCACAGGTGTGATCCTGGCCCTCTGGGAAAGTGCCATCTAGCATCGAGTCCCTTATTCATAAATAACAGCTTACACATGGGGCCGTGTCAATGCAAAAAGCAAACTATCACCCCCATTCACTGTCACTCCCTTTATCTGCCTTAGCCTGAGCCTGTTTCATTTCTCATTAGAGACATCTGACATATAGATAGACAGTCATCGTGATAGAGATAAAGAGATAGAAACAGAGAAATATTTATTTTTCATCTCTCCCCACTGGGATGTAAGTGGCTTGAAGACAGGGTATTCATCTGTTTTATTCATTGCAGTATTTCCAGCATTTAGAACAATATCCAGCATGTATTAAAGCCCAGCAAATATTTGTTGAGTAAATAAATATTTAGAGAATAGATATATATTATATATATATATTTAGATATATATATATATATATATATATATTTTTTTTTTTTTTTTTTTTTTTTTTTTTTTGGAGACAGGAGTCTTGCTCTCAGGCTGCAGTGCAGTAGCTCCATCTTGGCTCACTTCAACCTCCGCCACCTGGGTTCAAGTGATTCTCCTGCCTCAGCCTCCCAAGTAGCTGGGATTAGAGGTGCCTGCCACCACACCCAGCTGATTTTTATATTTTTAGTAGAGACAGGGTTTTGCCATTTTGGCCAGGTTGGTCTTGAATTCCCGACCTCAGGTGATCTGCCTGCCTCAGCCTCCCAAAGTACTGGGATTACAGACATGAGCCACCATACCCAGTATACAGAATATTTATATCAGCAAGGATCTGAGACTTGATGGAAGAAGGAAAGCAAAGACAGACCCAGATATGGTTTGGCTATGTCCCCACCCAAATTTCATCTTGAATTGTAGCTCCCATAATTCTCACATGTTGTGGGATGGACCTGGTGGGAGATAATTGAATCATGAGGGCAGTTTCCCCATGTTCTCATGGTAGTGAATAAGTCTCACAAGATCTGATGGTTTTATAAGGGGTTTCCCCTTTCTCTTGGCTCTCATTCTCTTTGCCTGCCGCCATGTAAGATGTGTCTTTTGCCTTCTACCATGATTGTGAGGCCTCCCCAGCCATGTGGAACTGTGAGTCCATTAAACCTCTTTTTCTTTAAAAATTACCCAGTCTCAGGTATGTCTTTATTAGCAGCAGGAAAATGAACTAATACAGCACCCAACTCCTTTTGGCCCAGAACTTGTGAGGAGAAATCAGGAGAAAGAAGAAAAGGAGGTATGGGGTCAGATAGGTACAACCTAGTCTTTCTCTTGGCTTAAACCTGGAGAGGTAGAAAAGCATACATGAAGCTAGCAGGGGGTGCAGAGGAGACATTGGCCTCCTTCACCCACCCCCACACCCACTCGCCACCCGGGATGCGTCTGCGTGGACTTGGCAGGGAAGCTTTGTTGACAGAGGGAGGTGCTGGGGCTAGGCTTTCCAGAGCTTGATTGCCATGGGGCATGTTCAAGACCCAGAAGTAACAAGTCAGGCTGAGAGATTGCTGGATGGGTCAAAAACGACCAGTCAGGTGGTTCAGAGAGAACTGTCCCGCACCTGCAGCCAGGGAAAGCTTCTGAGGGTTCACCAAGTCAGCAGCCAAATGACAAGTTCCGCACACCACCAGCTAAGCCAACAGCACACAAGTGGGCAGGGGCCTTGCCTGAAGACCAGAGGAGGTTAGGACATAGTCTCCAACTCCACATGCACCCCCGACCACCCACTTCCCAGAGTTACAAAGACCCAGTTACAAAGACCCACTTCCCCTCATAGACCCAGATTCCAGCCCAGGGAGAAAAGCTGGGAGAGAGGGCTATCTGCAGAATGGATTTACTTTATCATCAAAAGACTGGTCACCAGTTGAGGGACTGTTTACGTTATTAGCTAGTTCATTTCTGTTCCCATTGGCCAGCTGCAGGGGCTCTGCCAAGAGGCCAGTTTACTTATAGAAATGACATTTTCTCTGCACATCTGTGATGTGAATTAAATCTGCAACTTCATTTCACCTGTAGGCACTAAGACAGTAGTTTCCAAACCTGGATGCTCAATAGAATCCTCTGGGGAGACTTTAAAATCTACAGATTCTGAGCATCATCCTTGGAGATTCTGACTCAGTTGGCTGGGTGGGTGTCAGGCCAAAATCTGTCTGTAAAGCTTCCAAATAAATACAGATGGAAGCAACAACAAGATCTCTTTTTTTCTTTTTTCTGAGACCAAGTCTTGCTCTGTCACCCACGATGGAATGCAGTGGCACAATCTCAGCTCACCGCAACCTCCACCTCCCAGGTTCAAGCAATTCTCTTGCCTCAGCCTCCCGAGTAGGTGGGATTACAGGTGCCCGCCACTGTGCCCAGCTAATTTTTGTATTGTTAGTGGAGACGGGGTTTCACCAGGTTGGCCAAGCTGATCTGGAACTCTTGATCTCATGATCTGCCTGCCTTGGACTCCCAAAGTGCTGGGATTACAGAAATGAGCCACCACACTCGGCCAAGATCTTATTTTTTTTAACCTATCAGAGTGTCAAAGATGACAAAGATTGATAATAGTGTTGATCATGGTGTGGGGGCTATAAATAGAGATGCCGTTTTGAGGGAAGCAATTTGGCCACATCTATCCGTTTCTAGGTATTCACCCAAGCAAGCAAATGACAAATGCACCAGGATATTCATTGCATCATTATTTATAATAGAAAATAAAGGGCTAGGTGTGGTGGTTCACACCTGTAATCCCAACACTTTGGGAAGCCGAGGCGGACGGATCACCTGAGGTCAGGAGTTCGAGACCTGCCTGGCCAACATAGTGAAACACCGTCTCTACTAAAAATACAAAAATTAACCAGGCATGGTGGTGCACGCCTGTAGTCCCAGCTACTTGGGAGGCTAAGGCAGGAGAATCGCTTGAACCTGGGAAGCGGAGGTTGCAGTGAGCCAAGATCACACCACTGCACTCTAGCCTAGGTGACAGAGCAAGACTCTGACTCAAAAAAAAAAAAAAAATTAGCCAGGTGTGGTGACAGGTGCCTGTAATCCTAGCTACTCAGGAGGCTGAGGCAGGAGAATCGCTTGAACCCAGAAGGCAGAGGTTGCAGTGAGCCGAGATCACACCGCACAACAAGAGTGAAACTCTGTCTCAAAAAAAAAGAAAAAGAAAAAAAGAAAAGAAAACAGTTGGAAACAACTTAAATGTCCATTGGTGGGGGGCTGATTACGTGAAATAGTGTATTCATACAACACAATATTCTGCAGGCATTACAGAAAAGGAGATATATGTAGGCATAATTACATAGAAAGGTAATCATAATACACTGTTAAACTGGAGAAAAAGAAATTTGCAGATTAATAATATATACAACATGAGCCAATTTATCTGAGGAAATCTACATTCACATATATATTTACAAATACATAGAACATATATATTTACAAATACATAGAAAATTTGTCAAAAAAACACACTCTAAGTTATTCTTCGTCATGTCCATGGGGAGCGAGATTCCGAAACTGAAGAAAGCAGTACAGCTACCTTATGGTCTTCACGTTTACTTTATATACTTCTGTACTGTCAGTTTATTATGTGTTGTCAAATAAATAAATATTATCTTTAAAGAACATTTTTAAAGTTTAATCAAAAAGAATTCAACCCTCTCTGGGTTCTTCTGATAATCAGCAAAGCATGTGAACAGACCCAAAGCAGCTCACAGACAGGCCGGGCGCTAACCACTCAGCCCTCACAGCCAGGCGGCTCAAGTCACTGGGCAGCAGCAGACTTAACTGTGCTCAGATACTGAACATTAACAAGCAGGATTGATAGCATAACAAAACCCAAGGGAGGGTGCACGTTTGGATCACTTGCTACAGACTTGCTTCTAGAGCAGGAGATCCGACAGCCCCTGCCCAGTTGTACCCACTCAAGACACACTCAACTCTGCACAGGCCAAGGGCACACAGGGGCCTGACAACAAAGACTCCAGAGTTTCAACAGAACTCAGGCGTTTCATGACAATACACAGCTGTGCCTTGTTGGCATCAGGAGAGCACATGCTGGTGAGCCTTTAGCAAACAGGCAAGAGGGAGGGAGAGCAGCTACTCCATTGTTTAACTTCATGTCTGCTGAGTGTATCCAAATCCTGGAAAACCTACCTTTCATCTAAAAGGACTCCCCCACCTCCCATCTTGCCATGATCTCCCAGGTGACAGTTACACACACACACACACACACACACACACACACTTACCTCCTCATTCTGATAGGCAGTCACGGCTATGAACTGGGTTTCAGGGAAGGAGCAGTTCGTTACCATTCGATGGGCACTTCCAACACGCACTATGTGAACCTGGGGTTCATACTTATGCAGAGAATTCAACATTATCTGTTGAGGCAGGAGAAGAGAAAGAGGAGAAAAGCAAAGCCCCGTGTATCGCAGGTGATAAACAAGCCAGCATCTCCAGTTGGTCCCAAGCTCAGCACCACCCCAGTTAGGGACACACATTTCAAATCCTAGATTTGAAGCCACCTGAGCCGCCACCACACCTCTAAGAAACAAATGAAGGGAATTTTCCAGAAGCTCCAGGAAGCATAACATTGAAGCCTTTACAAGGGTGAGGGGTGGGTTGTCAGAGAGGAGTTATTCTTAAGAGTTTTCCGTTTTCTGACAAAATCTTGGCTTCCTTTTTTCCTTCCCCTATTTTCACACAACAATGTGGATTTCAATCTATCAAAATATATTGTTTGCCTTTTTTTCATTTGAGGAATCCTAATAATTCAAAATGCTGACAATGGGTGCATTTTCCAAGTGACGAAAGAATAGTGAAATCTGACATCTGATGGTTACACTCTCTCTGAGTCAAATGAAAGGTGTATGACAGTCTCCTGCTGTGAAATCTGGTAGGCAGTAACAATTCACTGTTCAATTTTCCGTTTTAATAAGGAACTGGAAGCTTCTGAGTACCACACAGACTCAGGTAGTGTTACCTCTGGACACATGAGGTAACACTACTTTGGTCCCTGCCATCTAAGCACAGAGATCAGAGAAGGGCCACATGGGCACAGGGTGGGAGGCTAAGGGAAAATCAAACATGCAGGTGGGGAAGAGAAGAATCCAGACCCTTTCCTCCCATCCATGTCTCCAATCCCCAGAAACCGCCTACATTATAGAAAGTAACTAACAACCTTCCATAGCAGACTAGTATTCACAATCCTAACACAGAAAACAAGACGAAAAAGCCCCAGATGCTTGTTTACTCTAATTGGAGACCTGAAATAAAACCTTCCTTGTTTAAGAAAGGTTTGTTTTGATTTTTTTTTCTGAAAAACCAAAGCTGATTCAATATTCTATTGATAATTATCATAATGCCCAAGTGGAGGTAGTAATTATTTCATTTAGAAGCAGCTTTTTATGAAGGTATTTGTCTATTGCCAGCATGCCACTTATACTAAAAAAGGGGAGAGGGACTAACAAAACCCTAGTACCCACAAACATCTCCCTCTCAGAGCTGGGTAAAAAGCACAGCACACAAGACAAAACTCTGAAAAGGGCCCCAGTGATTAAGTAAACCACTGCTCTCTCACTCTCTTAACATCAGGAAGTCCATTAAAAACTGAAAGCACCAATTAAGAGCTGTTTATTCTTGTTTACATTTGGACTCCAGGGAATAATTGGCTTCTGTGGGAGAAGAGGCTGGTGAGGACACCTCTAATTGCCTAAATGCACCCTTGATATTTCTTGATTGGTGTTGTGGGGAGGCTGGAGCGGGTGGCCAGGCCTGCCCGCCTCATTCATACCTGCCCGCCTCCATTGAGCTTGTTGGTCAGCTTCACTTTGCTGAAGGAGATGGGAGCTTTCATCCAGTGGGCCCCAAAGTTGGGGGAGTCCGGGTGAATGTAGACGCAGCTGTGGCTGGAGACCTCTGGCTTGCCAGCGGGCACCCATTCCCCATTGACATACTTCCAGCGGTGACTGTCCGTAGGGACAAAGTCCAGCAGGAGGGAGTACATGGCATTGGGGTCCAACCCTGTGACACTAATCTTTAGGACTGGAAACATCCGTCTAAAAGGAAAGGGAGAAACTTAGCCACAGGAGGGACGTTAGAGGAACTCTCACCTTGTCCAGGGACCTCTCAATACTGAGGCCTTCCATGGAATGCCCTGTGAGGAGGTCAAACAAACAGGGCCCAAGTCCACAATCCCAATGCTACTGGAGCTTCTTTTTATAAATGAATTTAATACTGAGATTTCACTTTAAAACATGCTCCATTTTAAAGTCTGAAAACCACTGATGGAGTCATTTGACACAACAGGAACCTGAAGCCCAAGATGTATCAAAGGCCACATCCCCACATAAAGCTTTCTTCAAAGATTTCCCACTGGTACACTGATGCCACGGACCAGCCCTTCCCAACCTCATAAAGAACACTATTCCTAAATAATAGTAATCGCATTTGTAGCAAAACATGCCAGCCTGGGCAACATAGTGAGACACCCCCATCTCAAAAAAAGAAAAAAAATTCGCTGGGTATGGTAGTCCCAGTTATTCGGGAGGCTGAGGTGGGACGATTGCTTGAGCCCAGGAGTTGGAGGCTGCAGTGAGCTGTGATGGTGCCACTGCACTCCAGCCTGGGTGACAAGAGTGAGATCCTGTCTCAAAAAAAACAAAAACAGGGTTACATGGTAAAGTAACTGAGAGGAACTCTTAACTCTACAAAGTGAGACCAGTTCTTTCCTCCAGGATGCCTCAGGGCCTTTAACATCCCCTTGTACACCATGGGACTTTGAAGAAAGTGTGGGAATGTGCATACCCTAAACATATGTGACAGTGGGATTATCATTTAGCTAAGCATTTTATGAGAATTTGTGTCCAAAGAACACACTTTGAGACATGCAGATCTAGATTCATCGATCCTTCTTCTACATGCTAGAATAATACAAGTTTAATAGTTTCATACAAGAACAATACAACAAGTTTACTCTCACAAATATTTGGAGAAACTATCCAAGTAGCTGGCTTATAAATCTAGAACATTTTCATCATCCCAAAAAGAAACCCCATGGCCATTAGCAGTTACTCTCTATTCCATTTAGACTTCTTTTTTTTTTTTTTTTTTTTTCAGACGGAGTCTCTGCTTCCTGGGTTCAAGTGATTCTCTTGCCTCAGCCTCCAGGAGGGTAGCTGGGATTACAGACATGCGCCACCATGCCTGGCTAATTTCTGTGTTTTTAGTAGAGACAGGGTTTCACCATGTTGGCCAGGCTGGTCTCAAACTCTCAACCTCAGGCAATCCACCCGCCTCAGACTCCCAAAGTGCTGGGATTACAGGTGTGAGCCACCACACCTGGCCTCTATTTAGACTTCCTATCACCAGAAAAAAAAGCAGAGAGAAGTAGTTTCTGCCTGCTAGGCAGGAGAGAGGCAGAGTTGACGTCCTTTGTGCTTCCAACTCTAAAGTCACTGCCTAAGGTAAGATTCTGGAGCCAAAGCAAAGCCAGGCCAGCCGAAGGGCTTGGGTATAATGGTGATACAGCCAACAGTTACAGAGCACTCACTAGGTGCCAGTGGGAATAAGCACTTTACGTGAACTAACTCAGTGAGTTCTTCACAACAACTTTATGAGGCTGTGTTGGTGTGTTCAAGGAGAGAAAATTAATTTAAATGGGAGGCTAGGACAAGTATATAAATTAAGTAAAATTTCTAGGGAGAAAAATGCATCAGATGATGCATTCCAAATCCAGGTCTTCACTGAGAACTTCATTATCCACCTCAACACTCCTCGTCCCTTAATGAGATGATTGCACTTTTACATTAACTAAAATGATACGCCTCCTCTAGGGAGGCTGCCTGTGTGATGTAAAATCTTTATGTTGCATTTTCTTTTGTTCTTTCTTCAGTAGAAGGATTATTGTCTTATTTTCTACTACTATCAGATTAAACAATTCCCTTTTACGATATATTTTAATGTTTTCAGTTATCTTAATAATATTGGCCAAGTGTAGAAAACAGAAGGATCCTGAGAACACAAATGCCATTTGCAAAGAATCATAAAAGTGAGTATCAGAAATGATGCTAGGGATTCTATAGGGTTCTTCTGACAGCCAGCAGTCAGACCTGTTTATAGGAGGTATACGGAGACACGGTCTCCGTGTTCCGGTCCAGTGCTGCTTCTGAAGTACTAAAGTTTACTTTTTATTTTATTTTAAAGAAAACACAAGAGTGGCATGTGTATAATTGTCATTTTGCATACTAAAGTTAAAAAGTACCAAAGGAGTTTAAGACCAGCCTGGGCAACATGGCAAAACCCCATCTCTATAAAAAATACAAAATTTAGCCAGGCATGGTGGTGCACATCTGTAGTTCCAGCTATTGGAGAGGCTGAAGCAGGAGGATCATTTGAGCATGGGAGATCGAGGCTGCAGTGAGCTATTATCACACCACTGTACTCCAGCTTGGGTGACAGAGTGAGACTGTGTCTCAAAAAAAAAAAAAAAAAAGTACCAAAACTTTTCTCAATAAGACTATATGGTACACATAAAAGTAAGAGAAAAAACATATAATGTATTACTCATGCGCTAAACTGCCAGAATAATGATGCAATTGTTCAAGCATGAGAGCATGGCTGGTGTCTTCATGATAAGAAATGTCAGGACATTTCATAAAGTTCTGACTTATGATTTAAGAAATTACTTAATGCAAGACACTTTCATTTGTTTTATTTTTATTTAAAAAGTTTCTGACTGTGTTGCCCAGATTGCTTTCAAATTCCTGGGCTCAACTCCTCCCTCAGCCTCCTAAAGTGCTGGGACTACAGGTGTAAGCCACAGTGCCTAACTGCAAGATTGTTTTTCTAGTGATAATAGTTATCATGTACAGTCAGGCCTCCGCATTCCCACGGTCTGCATCTGTAGATTCAACCAAATGCAAATTGAAAAATTTGAAAAGAAATAATACAGCAATAAAACATAATACAAATAAAAACAATACAGCATAACTATTTACATAACATTAACATTGTATTAGGTATTATAAATAATCCAGAAATAACTTAAGCATATGGGAGGATGTGCATAGGTTATATGCAAAATATTCTAGTTCATTTTATGTAAGGAACTTCAGCATCCTCAGATTTTGATATTTGCAGGGGCCTGGAACCAATCCTCTGTGGATGCCAAGGGATGGCTGTACTGAGTTCTACTCTGCACCTAGGACTTTGCGTAGGTGAATATTTCACTTAAGTGAAATATAACTTAAGTCTTACTTCACCCACAAGGAGGTTATTATGCCAGTTTTATAGATGAGGAAACTGGGACTTAGAAAGCACACATTACGTTACATTCACCACTCCTTTTTTTTTATTTTTAAACTCTGTTTTCCTTTCTTATTAGCTTCTCAAAGGCTAACATGGTTGAGCCACAGTGAAAGGAAAAGTCCCCCTCAATGTTTTCCCAAATCTTAATACCTAATTAGAGATTTATCTGCCCATTTGACAAATGGTTTTTTAGTACCTGCTCTATGCTAGGAACTGTTCTAGGTGGGGATTCAATGAAAAAAATTGCAGACCCAGTATCTTCTTGCTCATGAAGCTTACATTCTAACAAAGAAGTCAGGCAACAAAAATGTCAATAAATTTTTGTTGTTTCTTTAATGTATAAGATCATTTGGGGCTGGGTGTGGTGGCTCATGCCAATAATCCCAGCACTTTGAGAGGCCAAGATGGGAGGATCACTTGAGGCCCAGAGTTCGAGACCAGTCCGGTCAATTTAGCAAGATCCCTATCTCTATTTAAAAAAAAAAAAAAGATCATTTTAAATTGCAAGAGTGCCATGAAGGAACTAAAATGCATTATGTCACAGAAGGAGACTAAAGGATGAGAAGCTACTTTAGCCTGATCTGAACAGGAAGTGACATTTGAGCTAAGACCTAAATAATGAGAAGGAATGACTCATGCAAAATGTTAGAGGAGGCGCACTTAGAGGCAAAAGAAATAGCAAGTACAGTGGCCCTTAGATTTAAATAGCCCCACTCTATTCAGAAACTAAAAGAGAAGACCAAAGTGGCTGAGGCAAAGTGAAGGGAAAATTCCAATTATTAGACTCACTGCTAATAGGTTAGAGTGCCCTCTTCTTAACTCTCTCAACTATATTATGTGAGGTCTCATAAAGAGTGTAGCATGACTTTTCATTCCAGAATAAGAAAATGTGTAATGGCTTTCCATCTTTCGTGCTATGGTCAGAGCTGTACCTGATATTTCAAAGAAGCCATGATCAATGAAGAGATGCTTAACATCATTAGCCATTAGAGAAATGTAAAACCCAAAGTACAGTGAGATGCCACTTCATGGACACTAGGATGACTGCAATACGAAAGGTAGACAATAAAAAGCATTGGTGAAGATGTAGAGAAATTGGAATCCTCATACATTGCTGACAGGAATATAAAATGATGCCGCCACTTTGGAAAATAGTCTGGCAGTTCCTCACCTGGTTAAACATACAGTTTCTCAATAATCCAGCAATTCCACTCCTAGGTATATACACAAGAAAAAATGAAAACATCGTTCCACGTAAACATTTGTACACAGAGGTACATAGCAGCATTATGCATAATAGCCAAAATGTACAAAAACCCAAATGTCCATGGAGTGATGAAGGATAAATAAAATGTGTTATATCCATATAATGGAGTATTTGTCAATAAAAAAGATGAAGTGCTGATACACGCTACAACATTGATGAACCTTGACAACATTACACTAAGTAAAAGAAGTTGTTCACAAAGGACCACGTATTGTATGATTCCCAGGATATCAAATGTCCATGATATGAAATAGGTAACTCTATAGAAACAGAAAGTAGATTAGTGGTTGCCAGGGGCTGAGGAGGTGATGGCTAAGGGCGCAGGGCTTCCTTTTGAAGCAATAAAAATGTTCTAAAATTAATTGTGGAGACGGATGCACAACTCTGTGAATTACTGAGAACCACTAAACTATACACTTCAAATGGATGAGCTGTATGGCATGTGAATTACATCATCATAAAGCTGTTAATAGAAACAAAGAAGTCACAGTGTCTTGTCTCTTAGAAGGAGGACATATCTGGGAAATGGCAGAATGATTAATTGCTCTATTTTCTTTAGTATTCCATTTGCCAAGAACTTTATAATTTTTTTGTTTTTATCACTACATAAATAAACTGAGAAGAGATATGTATTTTTAATCCATTCCCTATTTTAATACATTTTTTAATACGTTCCCTATTATGGCAATGAGGAATAAATAAAAGTCAGTCAACTTGCCTAAGGTCTTGTAACTGGGACTGGAACTAACCCTGCCTCCAAGCCAAGTTCCCCTCCTCCCACCCTACTTTCCCCTCTTTTGTCTCACAATGACAGGGATGCATTATCTAGGGATCCAGTAACTAACTGATCTGTGATTACCACTCATGATCCGGCTTTATTTTCAGGAATGAACTGCACTTCCCATCAAGGTGATTTTTTCCCCATTGTTTTTCCTAGATGTAACTAACATAGAGAAACCCAGAGTCTGAGGGATAAGAAATATGTAAATCAGTCCCTAAGTAACAGCATAACTTCGCTTAATCCACCCTGGAGAGAAAGCCTCCTTGGAGATAAAGAGAGGAAAATGTGGCAGGGTAAATAAGCACTCCTCAAGAAAACGACACCTGAAGAACCACAGGTGGTTGGGCTTTGCCCATAAACTGTTTGGCTTTTATTATGGGACCAGCTTTCCAGTTTTATTTCACTGACAGGGAATCTCCAGAAGCCAGTGCTGCTGGAGCAGGCTATGAGAAGTGAGGTTTGCAGGAAGAAAGGGGGGCAGAGATGAGGCAGATTTTACAGGTGGGGGAACAGCAGAGATGGTTAAAAGCAAATTCAAAAAGTTAAACTTGTAAACACTTTCCTCCATCTCTCCACAAAACTCTACTATTTATCAAATACTCATCAGAACTTTGAGGGGTGTGTGTGTGTGTGTGTGTGTGTGTGTGTGTGTGTGTGTGTGAGACACACATGGTGCATGGATGCTGACATTTATATGAAGGTGAGCAGGCATAAAAATAGCAACAGGTGTCAATTAAAGATAAATAAACAAAGGGAAAAAAAGAACAGCATTAGGGAAGCAAGGTGGCCCGGTTAGCGGCAGATTACATAAATGCATATGATCTTCTTGAGTTGTAATTTTGAAGTTCAGAGAAAAATACTCATGGGCTATAGGGACATGGAAATGTATTGGCCTGATGTGCAACCTTACTTTTCTCCTCTCTTGCACTGCCCTTACTGGAGACTATGACCATCAACTCGGTGGCACTGCACCAATACCCCTTAATCACTGAAAATTTAAACTTAGTAATTCCCACCTCTTATTTTATGATAAGAAATATAGCATTTTCGCCTTATGTGAAAATGTTACAAGTAAAGAAAACAAAAGCAAGAGATTTGATTTTTTTTTTTTTTTTTTTTTGAGACACAGTCTCACTCTGTTGCCCAGGCTCAAGTGCAATGGTGTGATCACTGCAACATTGACTTCCCCAGGGTCAGGTGATCTCCCACCTCAGCCTCCCAAGTAGCTGGGACTACAGGTAGGTGTCACCATGCCCAGCTAATTTTTTGTATGTTTTGGAGAGACAGGGTTTCTTCATGTTGCCCAGGCTGTTCTAAAACTTCTGAGCTCAAGTGATCCACCTACCTGGGCCTCCTGGCTAATTGTTTAAATTTTCTGTAGAGAAGAGGTCTCCCCACATTGCCCAGTCTGGTCTCAAACTCCTGGGCTCAAGCAGTCTTCCCACTTCAGCCTCCCAAAGTGCTGGGATTACAGACATGAGCTGCCATGCTAGCAAGCAATTTAATTTATTTACCTCTGAAGTCTGAAATGAATTCTTTCTGCAAACTAAAGTATAAGTTTCCAGCTTAAAGGATGGACATGAAAGGAAATACTGGCTGGATACACTAGAGATGACTCAAATGAGCTCTAAGGAGGTCTTATACTTATTACTGTTATATCTAAAGGACTATTAACTACGAATAACTAAAAGTTTTCCATTTTAAAAAGAGAGGGAGGAAGAAAAGGAGGAAAGGGAAAAGAAGTAGTAGAATGGGGGAGGGGAGAGAGAGAAAGAAAAGGAGGAAGGGAGAGAGAGAAAGGAAGGAAAGAAAGGAGGCCAACATCAGGATCCCAGTTTCTGGAGATAATTCCATGTTTTTCAGGGAAAAGCTTTTCTCTTTACAGCTTCTGATGAATGTCAGAGGCAAGCTTCCTATTTATATATATGAAAGTAGATCTCCACTTGACAATGAGTCTTGTCACTCTTTCATCAGCCCATCTTATGCTATTGCAAGATTTGCTATTTTAATGCAGAACAATGACACCTCAAGTGTACAGGAGTTATCACCCCAAACGATGCTTTTTTAAAAAGTCAAGGTGACAATGTCAATGAAAAAGGGCCCAGGTCACAATGTGAATGAAAAAGGCTAGGACTGGGTAATCATACCAGGAACATTCTTCTCCACAGGGAAGGGCCACAAATCTACCTGCACCAGGCGTGGGAGTCGATGTGGAGGGCAAGGATCTGAAGGAGACACAGAGAGTCTATAGATATAGGAGAATGAGTAGAAAGGAGGCATTGAGGAATAAATGATTAGGGAGAAAAGAAAGAAGGAAGAAGGGAGTAAAGAAGATGAAGCAAGAAAGATGTCTATATTCACAAAGGTTAAGTGTGACTAATGGTTTAATCTGAGAAACTAAGAAGTTGGGAGTAATTTCAGACCAAGTTCATTCATTATTAAGTACATCAATTTCTTATGGACTTGTCTTCCCTTCTTTAATCAAAGTATAAAGGGAACTTTCTATCTCCTGGCAAAATCTTGACCCTAAAGGGCTCAGAGAACTTAGGAGAATTTAAGAAAAAGTTTTCATTTATAGGAAGAGGGGGAACACAGCAGGACATCCATAGATAAGAACAACCAAGTTCACCACAATTAGACTTCATTAAACTTCTTCTACAAAGAATATTGTTCATGTAGCTAATATTAAATGACTTTAAAGATGAAAGATTTTGTTTTGCTTTTTAAAGACAGGGTCTCACCATGTTGCCCAGACTGCTCCTAGGCTCAAGGATCCCTTGCCTCAGCCTCCTGCGTAGCTGGAACAACAGGAGCAGACCACCATGCTGGGTTAATGTGAAGTATATTACATTTTAAATATAGTGGAAAATTATATAGGCAATAAAAGGCAAGATAAAATTTTTCTTAAATGGTAAAAGTGCATTCCAATGTAACATATTAAATTGGAATTTATAATGGTTTCAGAAACTTTTATTATTTATTCCTTATTGAAATAGATGAACCATATATTTACTTGGTGATTGTACTTATTTTTACCATAATATATGGCCAATTTGACAGCCAAATCAATAGCATGAGGCTAAGTATTAGTGTAATTAGTATCCAGTAATACAAAGAATAATAAGCAGAATGTTCTACCTATTGTCAGATAAAATAAACTTTTTACAGTTGCATCTTTGCCCATCTTTAAAGGGCAAAAGATTAAATCCAATTAAGATTTGGGGTAATTCTGTGAAATTAAAAATATGTTTTATGTTTTCTTCTATGAAAGAAGCTAAAAATAATGTGTAAATACAGGTCAAGAGAAGGAACAACTATAATTACAATAACAAATATTAAAAGCAATAAATTTATATGAAATAAGTATGGAACCCATTTTGAGAAAGAAAATATAAAAATCAAGCAAGGTTGATATTCCTGCTACTGGTATAATCGCAATTTCTTGAAATGTCCTAATTCAGGTATGGCTTTCATTTTAGAACACATTTTAATGCCATGTAACAGTTCCTGAGTTCACAACTCTCCAAGATTGACAAGAAATAGTTCATTTTCTATACTGCGCTTCATTAAAATATAGAAAACCAAGATATCAGGAATGGAAGCATTTTGCACAAGGACAAAAGCCTGACAGAAAGAAGTTCAGATGGCCTCGGCTCTTCTTTATTATCAGAATTCTTTCGAGGGTGTCATAATTAGAGTTCAGCCAAAACTAAGCCTACTAAAAATGCCTTTCAGCATTTTGTACTTTTGTGACCATGTGTATGAAAATATATGTGAACATCAGCTGAATGTTGGAGCTAGTTTGGCCAAGCTGCGAGCAGTGAGATTTTGTTTCAAAATATTTGCATCTCCTCTATGAAGTGAAATCTTCTAATATTACCTTGACAGCCCCTTAGCAGACTAGGTTTAATAGAATCTGAGAAATGCCAGCAGAGATCAGTTTCAGTTAATCCCTCAATTTGTTGCACTTAGAGGAAAGAAGGCATCTTCGCTTCTCTAAAGCAGTATAATATGTTTTCATTCACTATTACTGCAACAGCTTTCACATCATCACAAACACACACAATCTCAAATGAACACTCACCACAAACACACACGGGGAAGCAGGTGAAGTGATAGGCAATAGTTTACATTTGCCCGTTTGCTTCCACTCTTCAACTAGTCAAACATTTCTGGCAAGTTTGCTGTACTTAGGAGGAGATCATCCAGCTTCCAAACAAAGTTGTCTTTCACCTTATCTGGACGGAGTTGGGGCTCAGGTCTGTGATAGGGTTTGCAGCTAGTCACAAATTAATATTATTTTCTGACATTTGAGTCCATTTTCCCATCCCAATGGAGCATTCCCCCCACTTTAGGGTAATTCCCCAGAATTTCTCCATTTAAAATGCACATAAGACAGGTGGCTTCATCCTCTGATGATCTCAGAGAAATTAATTAAGTTGGCTGGAGGAAAGCCACTGGAGACAGTCGTTCCTGTAAGCATGTTTAATCAGATCCCGCCGCCTCTGAGTGAAGAGCGGCAACCTCTTCAATATTCAAGGGGTCTCATCTCTCCTGCCAAGCCCTGCCAGCCCACGCAGGGCGGCAGATAAACTCACCTGCCATTCTTGGTCACAATCATCTCATTAGTGACTTCCTTGAATCTCTGCCAGAGAGGTGCATCCTCCAGGATGATCTGAAGTTGCTTCTCCGTAGGGTCGCCTTTTTCCCTCCCTGCCTGAAGCTCGCTCTCCACCACATTGAGCAGATGAGAAACAGTGCCATCGCTGGGCTTCCGAGTGCCCAGCTCACTCATGGCCATAGGCACTTCTCGAACTTTGCCGAGAGCTGTTACCTACCTTGCCTGCTTCTAGCTTCTTCCTTCCCTCACTTGCCTGCTTTTCAAACCCACTTGAACAGGGCTTGGAGGAGTGCAGAGAAGACACCCTGGCTCCTGCCTAAGCTCCTAGGATGGCACCCCTTAAAAGTCTCCACATTATACCACCAACCTGTTAAGCTTTAGTTGGGGAGCGGGGTGGAGGGAGGGGAGAGGTAGGGAAGAAAAAGCCCTCTCTTAATTACTCATTGGATCAGGTGGGAGAGAGCCTGGCTTTCCCATTGGCTGCCGTGCACAGAGTAGACATTTAAGAAGAGTACTCCATCCAAATTATCAGGCTTTTATCTTGTTGTACCTGAAGAGGTCTAATCGGTGTATTGAGGACCATTTTCCCATTAATTAAAATTATTCCAGGCCCAGACTGCACTGTCAGGCAAATCATGTTTGTGCATAAATCATGACATGTGGCACCTATAAAGAAAAGGGTCCTGGGGAGAATCGACAAACTTGATGCCAACCCAGGCTATAAGCTACTCTCCAGCGTCTTAGACGAAGGCTCTGGAGAGAAGCATATATGGAAGGTCCAAGGCACTGTGCCAAGAAACATGACTACTGCACCAGAGAATAAAGGAAGACACTCTGTGTGCCACTGCTCAAGGGTCAGGGCTGGGGAGAAAAGAAAAGAGCTCAGGACTTCTTTCTCCCAGGGTGTCCCCTACTCATCATCTCTCTCCTGAATGTCCCAGACTTGCTCACACCCCACTCATCTCAAGGGCCCTGCTCACCTCCTACAAATGGAGCTTTGAATGCTGTCCCTCCTCCCTAGAGTCTAGAACCCCAGTTTTTTGTTTATCTCTAGCCTTTGCCAGAGGGAGAGAAAAAAAAGCAGCTAGTATCATATTAATCTCTCTAAGGAACACTCTGCCCCCAGTCAGTGAAAATAAGCTTTTTACATTATTATGCAGAGCAATTTCTATCTTTGGTCCAAAAAGGCATTATTGTTTTCTCTTTTGACAATTCATCCTTATTTTGGCATTCCAGGATGAATCCCATATTCCCTGGGAAGAAACAGTAGTAGAAAGCTTTTCTTTTGCCCTCAACACACAGTACTAATGGCGAGTGAGTGGGCAGTGGGTGGAAGGGACAAGAGCAGAGAAAGCTCTACCTCCTCTAGTCCCCAGCCTTGAGTACAGCCTGGGGATTGCGAGTTTTTCTCATTTCAATACAAAGTAAGAAAACAAGAACAAAAGGAAAACGAACCCAAAAAGGTAAGATAAAGTCAGGGTAAGGATGACAGAAAATGTATTCAGGGCCTCCTAGTGCTACATACCTATGAAGCATCACATACAGCAAGGAACAAACAGAAACGGCCTGCACCTTTACAGAATTAACCATCTGATGGAGAAAATAAATGATATAAAGTAAACAACAACTAAGTAATTATCAGTAGTGATAAGTCTATGAAGACTACATAAAAGGGTGAAGTGGTCGAGAAAAATTTGTGCCCAGCAGGGTAGGGAACTCCAGTTAGGGAAGCTGTGTAGAACAGCTTCTCTGAGGAGGAGAAATTTCAGATGAGACCAAAAGCTCAGCAAGGATGTAGTTCGGGAAGAGTTGGCAGAGTGCCAAGCTGAAGAATTGCATGTGAGAAGCATGGCTTGAGCCAGGTAGAAGTCTCCAGGGAGGCCAGTGTGACCAGAATGTGGTGGTAAAGAGAGTAGAATGAGATGTTCTTTAAGAGAGGGCCAGGTCAGATCACGGGGCCTTAGAAGTCATGATGAAGATTTTGGATTCTCTTCAACATGAGATAGGAAACAGTTGGAGAGTATTAAGTAGGAAAACAGCATGATTTGCTTTGTGTTTACAAAAAATCTAATTGATTTGTGGAGAATAGAGTAGGAAAGGGCAAGAGCTGAAGTAAAGGACAAATTAGAGGCTATGATAGCAGTTCAGGCAAGAGCTGGTGATGGCTTAGCCTAGGGTAGTGGCAGTAGCAAAAAATGAAGTGTATAGGTTCTAGATACACCTTAGAAGTCGATATGACAGAACAACATGAGGGACTGGATGTGGGGGTGAGGGAGAGCAGAGAACCGTGTGTCTGATGGGAACAATTATTAGGTGGCAGGGCCATTTACTGAGATACGGAAGGTGAGGGAGGTGGAAGGGTAGGCAGAGGTACAATTTAGTTAGGAGACTCAAAAATTTCCATTTCATACAGTTAACATTGAAAATAATGTGGTAGGCTGAATAAGGACCCCCAGTAAAAGAGGCCCATTTCCGAATCCCCAGAACCTGTGAGTGTATTACCTCATATGGGAAAAATAGACTTTTCAGATGTGATTCAGTTAAGGATCTTGAGATGGGGAGATTATCCTGGGTTATCTGGTGAGCCCAGTGCAATCACAAAAATAAGAGGGAGGCAGGAGGATCAAAGTCAGAGCAAGAAGATGTAAGGACAGATGCAGAAGTCAGAGGGGAGAGAAGATGCTACACTCCTGGCTTTGAAGATGGAAGAAGGGGCCAGAAGACATGGAATGCAAGAAGTCTCTAGAAGCTGGAAAAGATAAGGAAATAGATTATCCTCTAGAGCCTCCAGAAGGAACATAGTCCTGCCAACACCTTGGTTTTAGCCCAGTGAAACTAATTTTGGGCTTCTGATTCCCCAAACTGTAAGATAATAGGTTTACATTGTTTTAAGCCACTAAGTTTGTGGTAATTTGGTATAGCAGCAATAGGAAACTCATGCAAAGACTATTAGGTATATAAGTGGAGATTTTGAGAAGGCACTGCTTAGAACTGTGATACAATTGTGGCTCTGAGCTTCCAAGCAGCCAATGCAAAGTGGGGGAATACAATCTGGCATACATTAAACTGTGTCCCTAAAATAAAAGCAAGCCTTGACCTGTGAGAAATTTCCCCCATAAGTCTTTATAAAGAAAACACTGTGAGATACAGTGAACAATATCTCCCCAGTCTACCAGTAAGATAAAAATCCTTCCTTCAAATAGTTTTACAATCTAGAAGGGACAGAAAGACATGCTTGAGGAATTCCAACACAGAAATGTGAAGTGTTCTGAAGCACCAGTAGGGGAGAAATGAAGAAAAAACAGAACTAAGACTGGAATATGACAAGGATGACCACTTACACTACTGTTATTCAATATAATACTAGAAGTTCTAGCTGCAGCAATCAGACAAGAGAAAGAAGTAAAAGACATCCAAATTGGAAAGGAGGAGGTCAAATTATCCTTGTTTGCAGATGATATGATCTTATATTTGGAAAAAACTAAAGACTCTAACAAAAAACTATTAGAATTTGTAAACAAATTCAATAAAGTTGCGGGATACAAAATCAACATACAAAAATCAATATAGCACTTCTATAGGCCAACAGTGAACAATCTGAAAAAGATATTAAAAAAGTAATCCCATTGACAATAGCTGAAAATAAAATAAAATATCTAGGAATAAACTTAACCAAAGAGGTGAAAGATCCTGAAAACTATAAAACATTGATGTAAGATATAGAAAAGTACATTAAAAAGTAGGAAGACAGTCCATGTTCATGGATTGGAAGAATCAATATTGTTAAAATGTCCATACCGCCCAAAGCGATCTACAGAGTCAATGCAAGCCCAATCAAAATATCAATGACATTCTTCACAGAAATAGAAAAAAATCCTAAAAATTTATATGGAACCATGAAAGATGCAGAATAGCCAAAGCCATCCTGAGCAGAAAGAAAAAAACTGAAGGAATCATATTACCTGACTTCAAATTATACTAAAGTGATATAGTAACCAAAACAGCATGGCACTGGCATAAAAACAGACACATAGACCAATGGAACAGAATAGAGAACCCAGAAATAAATCCTACAGTTAATTCATTTTCGACAGAGGTGCCAAGAACGTACATTGGAGAAAGGACAATCTCTTCAATAGATGGTGCTGACACAAACTGGAAAACCTAAAAGAAATGAATGAATTCCTGAAAACATACAACCTCCCAAGATTGAACCAGGAAGAAATTGAAAGCCTGAATAGATCAATAACAAGTTTCAAAGTTGAATTAATAAAAAAATTTACCAACCAGAAAAAGCCCTGGGCCACATGGATTTACAGCTGATTTCTACCAGACATATAAAGAGCTGGTACCAATCCTACTGAAACTATTTCAAAAAATAGAGGAGGAACTCCTCCCTAACTCATTCTATGAGGCCAGCATCATTCTGATACCAAAACTTGGCAGAAAAAAGAATCTTCAGGCCAATATCCCTGATGAACATACATGCAAAAATCCTTAACAAAATACTAGCAAACCAAATCCAATTCACCACAATCAAGAAAGCTTTATTCCTGGGATGCAAGGTTGGTTCAACATACATAAATCAATAAATGTGATTCATCAAATAAACAGAACTAAAAACAAAAACCGCATGATCATCTCAACAGATGCAGAAAAGGCTCTTGAATAAATTCGACCTCCTTTCATGTTAAAAATCCTCAACAAACTAGGTATCAAAAAGGAACACATCTCAAAATAATAGCCATCTATGACAAACCCACAGCCAACATCATACTGTTGGGCAAAAGCTGAAAGCATTTCCGTTGAGAACCAGAACAAGACAAGGATGCCCACTCTCACCACTCCTATTCAGCACAGTACTGGAAGTTTAGCTGGGGTAATCAGGCGAAAGAAAAATAAAAGATATCCAAATAGGAAGAGAGGAAGTCAAACAATCCTTCTTTGCAGACGATATGATTCTATACCTACAAAACTCCACAGTCTCTGCCCAAAGGCTCCTAGATATGATAAACAAATTCAGCAAAGTTTCAGGACACAAAATTGATATACAAAAGTCATTAGCATTTCTATACACCAACAACATCCAAGTTGACAGCCAAATTATGAATGCAATACCATTCACGATAGCCACACACAAAAAAAGACTAAAACACCTAGGAATATGGCTAACCAGGGATGTGAATGATCACAACAAGAATTACAAAACATTGCTAAAAAAAAAAAAGAAAAAATCAAAGATGAATCCAAGCAAATGGAAAAACAGTCTATGCTCACGAATAAGAAGAATCAGTATTGTTAAAATGGCCATACTGCCCAAAGCAATTTACAGATTCAATGCTATTCCTATAAAACTACCCTCATTTTTCACAGATTTTGAAAATATCATTTTAAAATTCATCTGGGACCAAAAAGGAGCCCAAATAGCCAAAGCAATCCTAAGCAAAAAGAACTAAGCTTTAGGCATCATACCACTTAACTTCAAACTATACTACAAGACTACAACAGTAACTACAACAGCATGGTATTGGTACAAAAGTCAACACAGAGATCACTGGTACAGGTTAGAGAACCCAAAAAAATAAACCATATGCCTACAACTATCTGATCTTCAACACAGCTGACAACAGCAAGCAGTGAAGAAAGGACTCCCTCTTCAATAAATGGTACTGAGATAACTGGCTAGTTATCTCAATCTTCTCAGTATGCAGAAGATTGAAACTGGACCACTATTTATCACCAAATATAAAATTTAACTCAAGTTGGATTAAAGACTTAAATGTAAAACCTAAAACTATAAAAACCCTAGAAGAAAACCTAGGAAATATCATTCTGGACATTGGTCCTGTCAAAGACTTCATGATGAAGATTTCAAAAGCAATTGCAACAAAAACAAAACTTGACCAGGTGCAGTGGCTCACACCTGTAATCCCACAACTTTAAGAGGCCAAGGCAGGTGGATCATTTGAGCCCAGGAATTCGAGACCAACCTGGCCAACATGGTAAAACCCTATCTCTACAAAGAATACAAAAATCAGCTGGGCATGGTGGTACATGTCTGTAGTCCCAGCTGCTCAGGAGGCTCAGGTGAGAGGACTGCTTGAGCCTGGGAGGTGGAGGTTGTAGTGAGTCAAGGTCATGACACTGCACTCCAGTGTGGGTGACATAGCATGACCCTGTCTCAAAAAAAGAACAACAACAACAACACAAAAGATTAAAAGTAGGACCTAATTAAACTTAAGAGCTTCTACACAGCAAAGAAACTATCAATAGAGTAAACAGGCAACCTACAGAATGGGAAAAAATAATTTGCAAACTATGCTTCTGACAAAGGTCTAATATCCAGCATCTATAAAGAACTTAAATAAATCAACAAGCAAAAAGAAAACTTTATTAAAAAATGGGCAAAGGACATGAACAGACACTTCTCAAAAGAAGACATACAAGCAGCCAACAAGCATATGAAAAAATGCTCAATATCACTAATCATTAGAGAAATGCAAATCAAAACCACAATTAGATACAATTTCACACCAGTCTGAATGGCTATGACTAAAAAGTCAAAAAGTAACAGATGCTAGTGAGTTTGTAGACCAAAGAGAATGCTTATACACTGCTGGTGGGAATTTTGTAAATTAGTGTAGCCACTGTGGAAAGCAGTCTAGAGATTTCTCAAAGAACTTAAAATAGAACTACCATTAGACCCAGCAACTTCATTACCGTGTGTATACCAAAAGAAATATAAACCATTCTCCATAAAGACACATGCACATGAATGTTCATCACAGCACTATTCACAATAGCAAAGACATGGAATCAACCCGGATTCCCACCAGTGGTGGACTGGATAAAGAAAATGTGGTACATAGACACCTTGGAATACTATACAGCCATAAGAAACAATGAGATCATGTCTTTTGCAGCAACATAGATGGTCATTATCCTAAGTCAATTAACACAGAACAGAAAATCAGATTCTGCATGTTCTCACTTATAAGAGGGAGCTAAACACTGAGTACACACAGATGCAAAGAAGAGATCAATATACACTGGGGCCTGCTTGAGGCTGGAGGGTGGGAAGAGGGTGGGGCTGACAAACTACTATCAGGTATTATGCTAATTATCTAGGTGACAAAATTAGCTGTACACCAACCCCTGAAACATGCAATTTACCCACATAACAAACCTGCACATGTACCCCTTGAGCCTAAAAGTTGGAAGGAAAAAAAATTAAAAAATAAAATAAAAATTTGGGATCAACAGAAAAGAACGTTATGATAAATAAATAAATAATGCTAAGAAAACTGAATATCCTTATGCAGAAGAATGAAACTAAATCCCTCTCTCTCACCATATACAAAAATCAAATCAAAAGGGATTAAAGACTTAAATCTAAGACCTCAAACTATGAAACTATTAATACTAACAGAAAACATGGGGGAAACTCTCCAGGACATTGAGTTAGAAAAGGAAGGACTCAGCCATACGTGGTGGCTCACGCCTGTAATCCTAGCACTTTGGGAGGCCAAGGTGGGTGGATCACTTGAGGTCAGGAGTTCAAAACCAGCCTGGCCAACATGTTAAAACCCCGTCTCTACTAAAAATACAAAAAAAATTTAGCCTGGCATCATGGCAGGCACCTGTAATCCCAGCTACTCGGGAGGTTGAGGGAGGAGAATAGCTTGAATCCAGAAGTCAGAAGCTGCAGTGAGTCGAGATCATGCCACTGCAACTCCATTCTGGGTGGCAGAGCGAGACTTCATCTCAAAAAAAAAAAAAGGAAAGCAAAGATTTCTTGATTTCTTAAGTAATACCACAAAACCACAGACAACCAAAGCAAAAATAGACAAATGAGATCACATCAAGTTATTAATAAAAACCTTCTGCAGAGCAAAGGAAATAATCCACAAAGTGAAGTGACAACCCACAGAATAGGAGAAAATATCTGCAAACCAGAATTATTAAGGGATGAATAGCCAGAATATATCAGGAACTCAAAAAACTCAATTGGAAAAAAAAAAACTAATTATCTGATTTTAAAATAGGCAAAAGATCTGAATAGACATTTCTCAAAAGAAGACATATAAATGGCAAATGAAAAGTGTTAAGCACACCACTGATGATCAGAGAAATGAAAATGAAAACTACATGAGATATCATCTCACCACAGTTAAAATGGCTTTTATCCAAAATACAGGCAATAGCAAATGCTGGTGAGGATGCGGAAAAAAGGGAACCCGTACACGCTGTTGGTGTGAATATAAATTAGTGCAACCACTGTGGAGAACAGTATGGAGGTTCCTCAAAAAACTAAAAATAGAATTACCATATGATCCAGCAATCCCACTTCTAGGTATGTACCCCCAAAGAAAAGAAATCAGTTTTTTTAAGACATACCTGCACTCCCATGTT